ATGGCCATATTACTACAAAAATATTTCCTGGAAGTTCACTTGCGCTATTAAACACAAATCTTTTGTTTTAAAGAGACCCACTATATAAACTTGTAAAATTTTATGCAGGGTTTTTACTCAAATGAAGTGAATTTCTTAAATCATATAATAAACAACTGACCTTTTAAGACACTTCATATTAGTTATTAAATTCATCCAAATCTGTGCTCGCCTCCCATTGCTCTCCCCTTCTACCACCGTTTCTGCCATATTAGCCTCTGCAGGTCCTCAGTTGCACCAAGGAACACACTCCCCAGACACTCGTGGAGGATATTTGGTCAATAAACACCACTATGGCTCTACCAGTGTAAAGTTGGCATCTTTTCTCATTGGTTAGTATTCATGTTAAATACTTTAATGATTACCGATGCATATAACCATACAGGTATCTCCTTGGCTTGGTTTACATTTCTCCTCAAAATTTATTAGGAGGCCTTCTTTGATCACAATGTTTAAAAAACGCCGCTCTCCCCCACACACACACACACACACACACACACACACACACACACACACAACTCCTCCTGCCCTCATCATCATGCTCAGGTCATTATCTCCTTGACTTGCTTCCTTTTCATAGTATGTATTACACTCTGACATAATATAGAACACTGCCCAGCACAGGTTAATGTTAAGTAAATATTTGCTAAAGGAATAAATACTGAATCACATATTTTCTAATCCTCTCTTTATTAAAACTTTAAATCATTTTAATAATTTAATTAAAGAATTAAGAAATTAAGGCACATGAATGTAGATTTAAGAAAAAGGAAGTTTCTTTGCTTCTATAAAATGTTAAATTGAAAAAACATCGAAAATTCTATCGAAAGCCTCTATAAAAGGAAAATCATTAAACAGTAATATTGCAAAAAGCAATACTTAAGGTAAAATAGTCTTTAAGAGATCTGAAACTAAAATAATGAATAGAATACCTAATTAAAAGTACAACTTTCTTCTCTTATGAATTCTTTGTTTGCACGTGTTTGATCTCGAATGCTGTGGCCACCAACCTGTCTCCTCAATTACAAGTCAGCAGTTTCAGTCACAAAAAGATTTACTCTCCTCTTTAAAAATCTGCCTCTAATATTCTGGCAACCTATACCAAATTCTGATAAAAAGTCACAAATATTTGATTTAAACTGGCAGGCAAATCATTTGTCTAAGGTTCAACTTAATGGCCCACTGACTAACTCCCTTGAATTTAATCATGATTTTTAATTTCCATTCAGAAATAAATTTCTTTTTAAAAACAGCGAAATCTAAAGAAATATTAAACTTAACAATGCAATAAATTTGCAAAGCATGATTTAAATGTTAAAATTGAACTGGATGTCTTTCTAATCCATATTTTACCAAGCCTTAAATTTTAACTCAAATCTCAGATCTCTGACCCAATATTACTGTTTAATAATTTTCCTTTTATAGAGACTTATAGTATAATTTCTGATATATTAAAATTGTTTTTCAATTTAACATTTTATGAAATCAAAGATACTTCCTTTCCCCACATCAATGTCCCTTAAATAGTTTATTCTAGTCTCTCTAAAGTCTAAACTCTAAAATCAAGACAGACAGTGGTTAAGACCATGGACTCAAATCTCAGTTGTGCCTCTTATCAGTTGTGTTATCTTGTGCAAGTCATTTGACATATTAAGCTTCAGCTCCTCATTCATAATATTGTATGGGGTTAATAACAACAATAATACTGTATGGGGTTCATAATACTTCATAGGAATATATAGGGTTAAATAACATAATGCATATAAAATGCTGAGCAAATACCTGGCTCCTAGCAATTGCTCGATGAATCCAATTCTTCAACAAATGTTTACTGAACACCTACTATGGGTCAGCGCTGTTCTAGGTACTGGGATATGAGTGCTCAAAACATTAAATGTAATTCTGGCCCTTATGAAACTTACCCTTCACTTGGGAGAGAGAGTCAACTAAAAATACATCATATAATATAATATCAGGTAAACATAATCATAACAGCAAGAAATTAAGAAGGGGAAGAAGGGAACATAAGGAGGTGAGGTGCTAGTTCACATATGGTAGTCAAAAGGCGTCTCTGATAGTGACATCTGAATGGAAACTAACCTGCGTAGTAAAAAACAGGCCATGTGCATATACATAAAACTGTAAGGAGAAGATAATGGGTGATCAATAACCCCTGTTTATGATAATGCCTTTCATATTCCATCTTTACATAGGCTTTGGGAGGCACTGTAGGAGAAATCAGCCAGTGGAGGGTAAAGGATGAGTGTATTGGGCACCACTGGCATTACCACGAGAAAGTTAAATTATTTCTCTATCGCTGTATTGTCTAGTTACCTGTACCTCTAAAGATAAGAAAGCGACTACTTTGACCAGCTAGACGTTATGATGATATATTTATAGTTTTATGGGGAAGAGAAATAAATGAGAAGAGTCTTAGAAGTAAGTTGCTATAAACAGAATTATATTGAGACCAAAATAGCATTCTTTACGTAGGCTAAAAATGAAGTCTGGCAAGATAGAAATTAGATGTTTTACAGCACATTATATGGTCAAAGACATTAACTTCTTACACAAATTAAATCAAGAAATAGATTCCAATTATAAGAGTACAATGATACATAACAGATAATGTGACCATAGCAAAATCCTTATCAGTCTGTTCCCCACTCATAATTGAAAATTATCTAACTTTCACAACCTCTGCTTTGTGATTTTCATGTAAAAGAGTAACATGATTCTTTAAATCAAGTGTAAAACAATATTTACAACAGAGATAATGACTTGCATATTTCAATATCAGTACTTTAGATCAAGTTAATAGTCAGCTACATAAACTTTAAATTTCCACCTCATAAAACAATCATATATAGCTCCTTAATCTTCTATAGCTTTTAGTTTACAGTCATTTTCATAGCTGGTGCTATAAAATGATGAGACAGTCAGCTCAGCTCCACAGCCAGTGTTTGGGGTTTGGGAGAAAGAATAACTGGGTTTGGGATAGTCCAGAGAATCTACTCCATGTATCTAGTGTCATGAAAAAATTTTATGTAGTGAAAGATGTGGCTTTAATTGAACTTACATATTCCAAGGAAATAATTGCATTTTTATGTGCCTCTTTTATGGCTTCAATCTCTCAAATTAGACCTAGCTAAGCAAGTAGACAACGCAAATATTTAGTTGGCTTGTGAAATGGGCTTTCAATATCTCTGAAAACCTAGCTATATAGCTCATTAACCTAACAGGTAAAAAGTATCTTCAGTGCACTGAATTTTATTTCATACTGAGATATACTAGAATGGAAGTTCGTACTTTTACATGTACAATTAAGTACACAAAACTCCTATCACTTAAAGTACTGGAGAGAGAGCAGTAGTGAAGAGAAAATGTCAAAGATGTCCCCTAGGTTTAAGGTTTGAGTAGCTGAGTATTTACTGGTAGCATTTACTTAAAAAAGAAGAACAAAATTGGGAGTTAAAGGTAATGAACTCAGTTTTAGGTAAAAGTAGAAAAACATTAGTTTTGGGAAATACATAAATCTGAACTAGAAATATAAATTTGCAAGTCACTGATGTATGAAGAGCAAATGAAGTTACAAGAATAGATCACATTAACTAAGGAAAAAAGTTAGAATTCTGTGAAACAACTGCAATTAAATTCACTGATGGAAGAGGAAACATTGATAGGCATTTCTTTTACTAGAGATAAAATGTGACAACCTGTTCCAGACTAAAAAACAATTTTATAGGGTTTTCTGCAATTAAAATGGGAGTGGGGTGGGGCAGGGAAGCTGATGAGAAAATACTAACAGAGAATGAGCAATCTCATAATTCTAGAAAATTGTGCAAGAAGGTCAATTCCTTAGCCATAAAATTAGTGTCCAGCAACTATCAAAATCTTCTGTAAGAAGAATGTTTTAAGCTCAGCCTGTAAGTAAAAACTGAGTAATAAAATACAAGTACAAACACTGACATTATATTCTAGATTATCAATGAAAAGTTTAACAATTGTTTTGAAAATTTTCTAAGCTGAATTTGGATTATACACTAGCATTCTTGGGAATACCACTTAATTCACATTAGAAAGTCATGCCTAGATATACATAAAACTAATTAACATACCATGTTTTATGACTCCCTATTTCTATACTGTTCTTCATTGTAAACAGCCCCCAGAGGAAAGGATTCTTGCTGACCCCAATCCAATTCCTGAAACTTCAAAAGTACTCAGAAGCTAAGCCAGCTCCATTACTCCAATGTGGTCCAGGCTCCAAAAGTTTCACCTTAAAAACACAAACCTTCCTTGTACCCATTCCTTACTTCACAGAGTTCTTGAAACACAAATGTTGTGACAGATCTTAGAGAAAGAAATGACCTACAGCAATCTCTCACCCAACTACCTGGCTCCACACAGGGAAGTTATAATTCACTACTTTTGAGAAGAGCAGTATAGTTTGAAAAGTTCCAATGTCATATAATATATTGTAAACTTAACACCCAAAATTAAAATTCTAAGGTACTCATGATTGCTGGACATTTTTTTTGACTTCTACAATTTAGAGTTTTTAATAAACTAAACCTTTCAAAGACAACCTTGTAAAGTGAAGAAAGGCCTCAAGTCTTTCAAGAAAAACTGGAAAGAAAAAATAAAAAGCTATTTGTAACCCAGTAAACAATGAAAAAAAAGGTAACCCATCTGAATAAAACAAGGAAACTATTTCAAATACTCTTATACTGCTGGTAGTCACAAAGCCTTTTTGTTTCCAAACTTTAATAAAAAAATCTTAGAGCTTTATGTACCGTGGAAAATGTTAACTGACG